GCAGTCTCCATTTGAATGGATCTTTTTCACACAGTAAGCTGGCATTCATGCATGTTGTTTTTATCCTGGACTTGAAAACATAAAACCACCCTTGGACATTAATCATCATTACTACCTGTTTGTTTATCAGAATATAATGGATTAAAAATCATTTTATTTTAAATATCAGTATTTAAAAACACATCTATAATCTATCCTTTGTTACAGGTACAAACTTTTGAAATGTTTTGGAAAGTTAAATAAGATACCTTGGTTTCTTATGTTTGTATATACAGTGTATTTGAGTTCGATTCATATATTATAAGGTAAAGAACTGATTAGAATTTACTTTTTGTAGGTAGCATCTACACTAGAGTATTATAGTGTAGTGACCTAAATAACCATAACAGCTAGGCATATCAACGGCTCCAAACAAGCTTCAGCTGCATGTAAACGATATGCTGACACATAGTAAAGGAAATCCTTACAGTGACCATCTGAGACCTTTGCCTTTGTTATTTTAGATGTTTAAGAATAACCAAGTATTTCCATTGCCTGCTGGTCTCTGTGTCTTCCTATATGAGCAGCTGCCAAACATTTCTCTGTCTATCTTTGACCTCCACTCTCATGGCTGGGTCAGCTACTAAGAGTTAGAATGAATGCTGAAACTAATGCTTCAGTATAAAAACGTCAGTGTGAATTATCTGCTTGATAAAGACTCACAATATTTTCACAATATTTCAATTCAATGAAGAAGCAAGAGCAGAAACAGATGAAAAATGGCAGATATAATTAATATGTAATGCAAGCTAATCAACAAAAGGGAGAATCAGTGGCCACAGGCACCAGAGCTGTGAACCACAGTGACGGCAGCTCCAGGCTCGCACTGCCACACTCTGTACACATTCACACAGCAGATTGATTTGACAGGGGCTTCGTACTTTGATGTTTCCATTTCATGCCATGGAGAAAATCACAGAAAGAGTGACTGATATCAAACTGACCGCTACGAGCCATATCTGCTACTGGGTGGTGCAGTCTGGGTGAACAAGCTGCTAGTGTATCAGTTACAAAATGTTCACTCGCAGGCCAGACAACACCAGAATGTCCACACTGTAATTTCTTTAACAAAGTTGCATGGTCAGTCAGTACAGACTGGCTGAGGAACACTTACAGACCCCCTTTGAATAAGCAGAGGATCATTGGATGTAATATTATGTAACCTGTAATTACACGGCAGTAATTTGGTGCACATGGCTCGACTAACTCATTAATCTTGAATGATATTTACATGTTGGGGTGGAATATACAGTATACTGCCATCCAATGAAAGGTCTTGCTTTTTTCAGCAAGATCATGTCAAACCACATTCTGCATTTATTCCACCAACATGGTTCACTAAAACATCTGGGTGCTAAACTGGCCTGTCTGAAACGAAACATGACAAATGAGGCGTTGAACTGCCGAGCAGCCGAAATCTTGTATCAAACAAACGTGTTTTGCTTTTAAAATGACAGCAATTGGTCACTTTTTGCTGATTGTGATTAAAAAAGGTGGTCCAACACATTAGGAAACACATTTCTGAAAAGTGTGGCTGGCATCAAATTAAAATGAGCATATATTTTAACACACTAACATTAATGCAACTTTAAGTTATATTAACTCTCTTTCTAATGTAACCTATATTATATAGTGAGTGTTAAACAGTTTGCTTATTTTTTTGTACATCTAAATAAAAAACAAATAAAAAAACACTTCAATCACTTGGGTGAGTAGGTAAGAATCTGAAAAGCATCTGGAGATTTATCAGGATTCATCGGTGTCTGCGAGGACTTTGGGCAAACTCCACAGGGATCTGTCTTAGAAGGACCACAGACCTGCCTGATGCCTTTAGGATGGCTTTTGATGTCATGCATTTAGTGAAACCCTCTCAATCCAGGCCACAGTGAATGTGCAATATTAAAAAGCCACTGCTCTGCCTGCTAACTTCAGATAGAAACACTGTAATCTGATGAATCCTTTAGGAAAAAGCCAAAGTCTCAATCTTTGTACGGGCGAATTGAGATCCATAAATGAGCCACTTATACGAACAATTATTCTGTTAGGACTTGGCAGCTGTACATGTTGGGGCTCAGGTCACATCGACATGAGGAAAAATGGATGAGGAAGTCAAGTCAGTGTGAATGATGAAAGAGGTGGGGGGAGGCTGTGTGTGTGTGTGTGTGTGTGTGTGTGTGTGTGTGTGTGTGTGTGTGTGTGTGTGTGTGTGTGTGTGTGTTGGGGGGGGGGGGGCTTAAGCGCTGATGAACTGCCATGTTTGGACAATATTTAAATGTATTTCTCAGTACGGCACAATCACAGGTTTCTGGTCCTATCAACACAACACCCGTTATTGTGGTCCGTCCATAGCTATTAAAACACAGATAAATCCATTAGCAGACACTGGGCAAGAGTTGAAATATTATCAGTAAGGTCACCGATCTACTGGAATCACAGGCAAAACACAGAGGCTGAAACACAGAAACCTGAAATCAGAAGTTTAATTTAAAGGCTCCTTAAGGCTCTATTTCACTTTCTGATGTGCACTTTTCAGATTAAAGAGATGCATTGAATTTTCTACACATAAGTGAAAACTCTGAGGAACAGCAAACAGACAGATACAGCATATTGCTGATTGTTCCATTTTAACAGACTGAACAGTGTTCTTTGTATACAACCTCTTATTGACCCAAGCAAAGAACTGCAACTCATTACTGTCTGGCTCCCAAAGCGGAGCTCAGAAGCCTACAGCAAATGAAGATTTTCCATTTACACCACACTCCAAAACAACACTGCTGTTGAGTTTGGCTCATCCTCAAGCATAATGAAATGTGTCTCCACCAGGCAAACACTGACTTGTACTTCAATGTAAAACAGAGTATTAAGTCATGTTATCAGGAGGGGGTTATGCTATTTTTTGTGGACTCAAAAACAATTATAGATATAAAGATGGCCTTGGGGTGTGTGACAGTTCATCCTTTTAGATGATCAACTCCACATCACATATTCCCCTTTTTTCTTTTCACTTGACCCGACCCGCAGGGCAGTCTTTCTCATTACTTTTACAAAATGAAATAAAACACAAGCCAGAAAACAAACAAACAACAAAATTAGCTTTGAAGCAAACATGTCAGTGATTTTGGCTGTATTATCACACAGTGTAAAATTCATTTCATTTCTTGCATTAAAAAGCATCCTGCTGGTGTAATAGATCATTAGTAACCATACTAAAAGCCAACAGATAGGTTTTTGACAGAAAAGTCATCATCATTAATTTTGTATTAGCTTAAACATACACATCTTTGACATGCTGTAAGTATTTTGGGGTAAATAGCAACCCTCTCACAGAATGGTAAATGGTAAATGGCCTGTATTTATATAGCGCTTTTCTAGTCCCTAAGGACCCCAAAGTGCTTTACATATCCAGTCATCCACCCATTCACACACTGGTGATGGTAAGCTACATTGTAGCCACAGCCACCCTGGGGCGCACTGACAGAGGCGAGGCTGCCGGACACTGGCGCCACCAGGCCCTCTGACCACCACCAGTAGGCAACAGGTGAAGTGTCTTGCCCAAGGACACAACGACCGAGACTGTCCAAGCTGGGGCTCGAACCGGCAACCTTCCGATTACAAGGCGAACTCCCAACTCTTGAGCCAGAAGATAACACTGTAACCAGTATGCTTTGGACCAATGATTAAAACAAGTTGTTAATGTTAATATGTTATCGGCAAGGTCTCATATTGTGCTGATTTATACGAACATAATGGAAACACATTACGTGTTCAGGTTCCCAAACGAAAGTTGAAAAACACAAACAGCTACAGGACAGGGTTAGGGGTTTAGCTATTTAGCTAATGTGTGTAAACTGCGACATAGGGCCCTGGAACATGGATAAACAAAGCACCACCAACAACAAACTTTTCCGAAGAGCTTGACTTTGTATTGTATTGGAGCTGACAAGCACACGGCAGGTTTTATGTCTATACTTGAAACTGTCAGAAGCAGTTATAAGAAGTGTGTTTCAATGATGATGTTGCTAATAAAAAAAAACAACTCTCTCTCTCTACACGCAGATGTTTTACGGTATATATTTATTTGTAGCAAGTAGGTTATAGCAAGTATAGAGAGAGAGGTCCAACAGGACTTAAAGTTATCATGGAAACAAATAATTGGCATAAAGAAATAGTTTTTTCTTCATAATGTAGACATTAAACTAAAGCAAAAAATAGTGATCAAAATAATCTGATTATATTCTTTTAATTCAATAGCTCTATAAAGTTGTTTTCCACACTGTAGCCTCCAGGGTGTGATATGGATTTCCAGCGGAGTACTACAGCTTCCCAGATTGACTGTACAGCTGCTGATGTGTGAATTCTCTAAAATTCTACTTTAACCAGCAGGAATTAATAAGTGTTTTTGTACAAACTCTTTAAAATGTGTTTATATAAAGTACATGAAGGTAAACATGGATATTGTTGTACAAACTCAGAAAAAATATAAACAACAACAAACAACAACAAAAGACCCCCATCTGGATGCAATACTGGGGCTGGACAAAGGACCACAGAGCACGTGCCTCCTCATGCTGCCTGAGCCGATGGGACCACACATACAATAGACTGAATACTGCGCTGGAGCTTGTCCGAGGCAAACCACAACAATAGCTCTTCCATTCAGAGCAGCTGACCTCGCTGACACGTGGGTCCTTTGTCCCCGTTTCATCCTCTCTCGACATAAAAAAAGCAGAGAGGGTGAAAAGTGTCCGCTGTCTGTCAGCCACGACTGGGTCAAACATGACACTTTGTGTTCATGTGGGAATTAAAATGGGAACTAAAAGACTACATATATGATTGCATTTCCGCAAGAGGAACTGACGTGATGTGACAAAACATTCTTTCTTTTAGTAAGCTGGCTTTTTCCCTAGTCATGCAAAATGTGAGATTTTGAAGTCTCTTAATGAACACAGCGAGCATCTTACCTTTTATAGAAACCGTGCAGAGGCTGTAGACACAGGAACTGCCAGTAGTCCAAACAAAAAGCTTTGAACTTCAACATTTTGTCAGCCAGTTAAAAAGGCTTAGACTAAAAATGTCATTCTGCATGGAAAAAAAGAACTTGCTTAAAAAGAATGGCTTACATTTAGAGGAACAAAACAAATCATGCACAGTTCAGACTGCATGTCAAAAACACTGACACCCCACATGGTACAATCCCATCTCAGCGTCTGCCTGTGTGTCTCTGGGCCACATGGAGGGGGTTGAACCTGCATCCCTCTGCTGCTGCTGCCTTTGTTAACGCTGAGCGGTCGCCTGCAGTCCTGTGCTATATGTCCAGTTATAAGCTCCTTTTGGTGTGATAGAGATGTCAAAGACCAGACACCGTGGATCTGTCTGGGGTTCCTGAGCAAAAGGTTCACCTTGGCAATCTTATGGTGGATTCAACCTACTCCGTCCCACCATGCTCAATCTTTTCAAGTTAATCAATAGCAGAGATGGTCTCAGTTTCCATCATTGCTGCTCCTCAGAGTTGAGTTACAGCTGCTCCTATTGTCTAAGCAGCCACACTGACAAGGTCTGACTCTGCTGCGCCTCGCTGGGCCAACAAAGCACACAAAGGCCTCCCTCGGCGACCGTATCAATTAGGCTTTATCAGATGCTGCACAGCCTGCACCAGCCCAGCCTGCTCAGGGAGAGGCTAATCAGCAGCAGCACATGGTGCGCAGAGGGGCGAGGCAAGTACCCATGAGGGCCAACCTCAATCACGTTTTGTACACATAAAGCCTGAGCTGGTTGCCAAGACAACTCCAAACACAGGATTTACAGAAAGTAATGGACCCTTGATGTGAATCTTTCTCACTGAATGAAGATGAGAGGTGAGGGTCAATTTCAAGAGTTCTCAGAAGCCTTCCAAGAACAAAAATCCCCAACCAAACAAAACACGCTCCAACATCAAAAACGTCTTATGTACAAATTATTAAAATGATGCCAAAAAAAGAGAACAGACGATTCACGTGCATGAATGAATTAATGACGAATACAGGAACACCGTCACTAGCTTATCATAACGTGTTCTTCCAAGTACAAATCTACAACCTGCAACGGATCATGGTGTTCACATATCACCATTTTTACTCCACAAGTTTTACTTGGAAAAAGAAAAACATACTTTCATAATAATCAAAGAGATGATAAGTGAATCAGTTTTATCGTAACCAGTGTAAACAAGTCCCATGATCACTCTGTTTAATACAGATATCCCTGTTGGATGGGCGGTGTTGCTCTCTGCCATGATGATTCAGCTGTCAGTAGCATCCTGTCAGCCAGGTTTAAGACAATCACTGCTACAGCTTTCAGCTCCATCGGCTCACAGAGCCACAGAGTGGGCTGGGTGGGGAGCCACACGGAACGATACGGCAATTATTCAGCCGGGCAAACAGCTTTGAAGTGAGAACAGACAGCATTTTGTAAAAGGCTGCGAGTCAGAGAAAAGTTTACAGTAATGAACAGTACACTGAAGTATGATGCTGCAAACTCAAAATGCAATCCTATTCTGTGTGTTATGTGGATGAGCCAGTTGTTAAAGGCCTACACTAATAACACTAATGACTTATATGAAGTCTTTGGTAATTATACAGCATTATACTAGAATAGAAGCACCAAGTGAACAAACCGGCCAGCTAAGCTTGACAGAAATGTTAAAGGGGCTCCCAGTGAATTTCTTCCTCTCTTTAATAAAACTGAGAGATTTACAAATGATTAAATAAGAACTTCATGACATCCAGGCTTTGGACAAATGTAACTTTTACACAGATGCCTATGGTGTCATCACCCTCCTGAATTTTGACTGTTTTCAGTGCACTACTGTAAACATAATTTTACATGTTAATAAAATAATATGCACTGAAAGCTTTTTAAAAAATGAAATCCCCTTCATATTGGCTCCCAGTAATTTGGCCCACTGCCTAACATTCACTGACTTGTTCACTTTGCAAAGGTAAACTAAAAGCATTTTGTTAACTTTGCTACCTTACTGTTGAATGTTTTGTGTTACTGCATATTGTTAACCAGCAAGCATGTCCGTGTGAGCCCACAGTGGGCAGGTGTGAGGCTGTGTGGAGCACAGCTCCTATGGGCAAATCCATAACTGGCTTGCCAACAGAATGTGGCACCGATTTTGGGTCCATGTGAGGCTCATGAGCCAATGCAGTTTTGCCTTTATGGGGCCTAATGGGGGAATCCTGTGGGCCCTACACTATTGTGCTTCACAGAACCTCACAGAAAACCCATGTGGGGATAATGCAGGCTACCTCATGTGGGGCCTATAGCAGTTTTGCCCATTTGGGTCGTGAAGTGGGAATTTTGTTGGTAGGATTACTCACAGAAAAAACATGTGGTGCCAATGAAGGCAACCTTATAAGGGGTCCACAGCAGTTTTGCCATTTTGAGCCTCAGTGCCAATCTGTGGGCACACCACACTTGCCCTTATTAGACCTGCCCACACAAAATCCAAACAAGAGCCCCTATGGGCTTGCATGAATCTGGTTAAATCATGATCACACATGATCGACTCCTTTAAAAGTTCATTTTTAAAGCCCCTTGCAGCTTCATCTTTGTGGCAGTACCAGCCAATTGGAATATTAAGATACTATCTTCCATCACCATAGTGACAGATATAAAATAGCTTTTCAAAACGCTGAACCTGATGTGTTAGTTTTCAAAAGTCTACAGTCACACTGCAATGTGCTATCTGAAATGCGTGTTTGAATTCAGGCACTAACAACACTGCAGTAAATGTCCCTGTTTTATTCAAGGCCACCAGAGGTCAGGTCATGGACTGAGCCACACACGTTCCTCTCAGCTTATTAAGGAGCAGTGAGGGGGGTGGTGGGTGGGGGTGTGGGAGCAGCACATTATTGAGAGGTGTGATGCAGTCAGATGGGAGCTCATCTATCATGTGGTTTCTAGAGCCTGAAGTGTGTAAGCAGACAAAGTGAGATGTCACAGTGACCATTCACCTCTCACAAGGCGTAGACAATAGAAATCCCACACCAGCGTTCGTAATTATTCATACATAGTATGTAAAAATACAGACTTCTGTATAACTCGTGTTTTTGGATATGTGATGCTAATCTCACAGCCTGACATCTTCTATCAGTGAATATGTTCCAGTAGTGAAGGATAGAAAGTAGATTCTGCTGCATTAGCTTAACTGGTTAACTCCTGAACCCAGCAGAAAGCTGGAGTAAAATGAGCTGGAGGAAAGCATTATGGTAATAACTGCAGATTCCATTTGGCACCTGGGGAAGGACAAGCCCTTCACTCCAGCTGAGCTTCTTTAGTTCACAGGCTTTAGCTGTCTCGGAAACAACAAACCCAACGCTACAACACCAGGTGTACCTCCGGCAGGCCATGAACAACAAGCAATATGGGTATCCTATTCACTGTGTAATGTACATAAAGACTGCCACAATACACTTGAAATTCATGGAAACCACAGAGTAAAACGCACAGTGGCTAATGTCACACTTTTAAAAGGAAATTCTGGTAGTTGTCCACCAAATTCATGATTTCAAAAGCATTCTGTGACTAATTTGGTCTGAGGGTTTTTGAAATGACACACTACAAAGTAGTTTCTTTTTTATTTTGTGTCCACAACCAAAAACAATATCATGACTACCTCCAAGAAAAGACAAGTGTGAGGTGTTTTCCCCTTTTACTGACAGGCTTTTCATCCCAGCTTAAAGAGTGACTCTATGCAGCACATCTACCCACTTCTGGACTCAGATGTACTGTATAAACCATAAAATAGCATCCCCCCACTTTTAATATGCAGTATGTAAAATCTCATTTTCATACCCCTCTCAATTTAAGTTCATAATCCTACAGTGGTCACTATAGGACAAACAGCTGTGGCTGCCATCCATGTGTAGGCTGTCCACTGTTCACTGTTCACTGTTTAATGTGGCTGCGGTGGCAATATGCAGAGTGTCCACATCTATTTGTGAAAATTGAAGTTTGATATGAGACAATGAGCCAGTGAAGCTCATTTCTGACCAAGTAAAGTGATGCTGAGGTGAATTGTTGAGGATAGCTTGAACTTTTCTGTTGGTACGTGCTGCTGTTTTTGCCACTGTTGCAGCTAACAGGCATTAGCGAAACATTGTTGGACTGAATACTAAGTAGGATTTCTTGAATTGCTTAAAGATTGGAAATCATGTTTTGAAGAATCATCCAAACTGAAAGTAAAAATCACTTTTTGTCTTTTACCAACGTGCATAGCAATGCAGCTCTGCTCGCTGTTCTGCAAAGCTGATTTCTAATTGAATCTGACAATATTAGAAAGATTGGGGGTTTGTCCTCCAGGTTCTCTTTCCACATGAATAAAAGTATTTTTATTTCAAACTGCAATCCCTGCTGGATAGAACGCCATGGCAACAAAACTCTAAAGCATTAGTTCAAAGTGGCAACCACATGATGCCTACAGAAAAACGAAACATAACAGGAGTAAGACGCTTTATTCAGCACCTCCCCGGCCAGTGAAAAGCTTGTTAGGCTGCTGCTTGATGAGTGCTTTAAGCTCCTCCCCAAGAAATATCATTATTGAAATTCTGTCAACATTACACAGAAGAAAGCTGAGAAAGGCAATGAAGAAAGGCAAAGTCACAGTTTGTCGAATCTGTTGCGCTGCCACTCCAGCAAGAGCTGGGTATTGGAAAAATACAGTAGTTTTTATTTCCTTAAAAAAAGCAAAACAACAACAAAAAAACCTCTGGCAAAAACCCTCTCCTAGCTGTCATACTATTCTGCTCACTCATTTGGCAGAACAGATCCTATTATCTTGTTTATCCTCATGGAAATTTAACGGTTTACCACGTGGTGTACATTTTCTCAGCAAATGCAGGTCTGAGACAGCCAGTGAGAAGTGCTGCGGGTGACTTTAGAGGGAGTCTGAAATTTGCACGATATGATCAAAATACGAGTTTGATGCCTTGTTCCCCCTGCATGAGAGGAAACATCTTTACAGGCATGACTGAGGAAGCATGAGGGGGAAAAGCCACATTTGTGCCATTATCTCAGGGCAGCACCTCAACTCTGACCTGCTCTCCTCGGAGTTCATTAAAGAAGTCATTTGCTGGCATAATAGGATTCCTTATCCGATACGAGGTTTCCTCCCCGTTCACCCGCTGTGCTCGAATGCTGTGATAATTCCTCAAGAAGAACACGCAGCTCTCTCTACAGAGTGATAAACAGTCAACGCTGGCATTATCATTATCTCTACGGTCTGACACCAACAAAGGTGGCCCACGGCGTCCCTGCTCGGCCATAACAGCCCCCGCGAGCCTGTCGGTACCCAGGGGACCGCTGCCTGTGTAATTGCAGCTATTGTGAGGCCAGCTGAGGTCTGAGAAGGAGTGATGAGCAGAAAGATGAGAAGGTTATGTTGTGAAGGCAGATTACCTTCACGCGTGGCTCTCACTAGGCACTGATTGATGGCTATTTGCCTCAGCTTTAGCACAGGATCTGCCACAGGATAAAGCTCTTTTCCTTATGACTTCTAGGACTGACTGAACAAAGCTTTGGATGACACTCTTTCTTGAGTATGGCTTGAAATCCTGATACAATCCATCATATATCACATGCAACGAAGAAAGTTCAGAACTGTCTAAACCACCACACTAAAACATCTCTGGAATAGAAAACATTCAGATTCTATCTAGCACAGAAAGTCTCGTTTGCCTTTATCAATAATGGCTAGGCCAAATATTAAGAGCTTATATCAAATAAAAGTTGTAGCTAGCAAGTAAATCCTGCAGCCGTCGCTTTCGCTTGATGTTGTTTGACATTTCAAGCTCAATAGAAAAGGCTGACTCATTTTGTCCCATTTCCATCCTGACACCAGGGTTAACCCTGTGAGCACTCCGACTGATTGCAGTGAAGATGGGGTTACATGTTTTTATTTCTGCTTTAATGCAATTTCTATAATGTAATTACATTTCCAGCTTATTATTCTAAATCATATTGATTGATATTAGTACCGTGGTTAGCACTGTTGAATCACAACATGAAGGTCTTACTAAGTTTGCATGCTCTCCTCTTGGCGAGTGGGGTTGGGTTAATTAGTGAGTCTAAATTGCTCATAGGTGTGAACGTTAATGGTTCTATAGACAGACTAGCGACCTGTCCAGGGTGTATTCTGCCTCCCACCCCATGCCAACGGAGATAGACTCCAGCACCCCCCAAGAGCCTCAACTGAAGAAGCAGAAAAAGATGGATGGACTTAGTATAATTTATTTTTTTGTATTTGAATTTTATTCACTATTGGTAATATATGAGCATCTCCAACATTGTATAATGGAGACCTGTAAACAGCTGCTGAAGGATAAGCTTAGAAAGTCTCAGCAGCTACAACATCAAATATGAAAGTGAACATATGAATTATAAGAGTTAAAAGTACCAAGACTGATTTCTACAAGCTCTAAATAATAAACTTGAGTGAAACAGAGCTTTTTAAGGTATTTATTTTAGATACTGCAGAGGATTACCCAAAGGCAGACTGCACTATCTGTATTTTTTAGCTATTGTATGGCAGTTTCTTTTTTGGGTGAAGAAAAAGGGAGAAATCCCACAGAGACAAGAGCGAGGGAATTGGCTATGAGCAATATCTAAAGCTGGAAGCCTGACAAAAAGAGTGTCTCTGTGAAGTCAGAGTAGTGTGTTCCTGGTGTGTGGGACCCCCCCTGAGCAGCTCAGTTACCACTCCAGGTGATACATAACACTCAAAGGATGCTTGTATAGTGGTGCTTCAGGATTT